CAGGACAATGAATAGAAAATTGTAAGGGAAAACACATATGAATGGTTCTTTGTAAGGTGGACACAAAATCTCTTGAGAATCTATTTGTTCTGTTCATGGTTTGATGCCTTCTGTCCTGTAAACATCAGTAGTATCAAATTAAATTATTATGAGTCAAATTTTCTCATATGCTTTTTTAGCGTGTTTCTTTTCTCAATCATTAACCAGAAAATAAATAGCAACTTTTTCATCAATCCTAGTTAATAGATTTTTTTGTTATCTCTCATATTTCTTTGAAAAAAAATATACTTTTATACTATAAAATGTCTTTTTTTTTTTATTTGTATTATTTTATAAACTATATGATTTTAGTGCGAAAGTATACACATCCAATGAAAAATATAATTGTCTACAGAAAAAAAATATATATGATTTTAGTGCGAAAGTATACACATCTAATGAAAAATATAATTGTTTACAGAAAAAAAATATATATAAGTTTGACACGCTTAACGATGAGCCCAATTATACAAAATTTGTGAAAAAAAAGTTATATTGATTATTTTTAGTTTAGAATATGATCCCAACAAATCTTAACATAGACCCCTAGAGTTGATCTTCATTAAATTAAAAGTATTTTAGTCGTGAACGGCGAAACAAATGGTGGCCTAACATCATTTATTATTCTCAATAGCTATTAAATCAAAATAATTATAATAAATAATAGTTGCATAAATAAATTATGTGTGAACAATATAAATAATTTATTTATTTGCCAATTAATATCAAAATTATCCTTGCTAAAGAGATGTAATATTTATGTTGTAATTAGTAATTATGTTATTACTTACATAATATTGTTATTCAAAATAGTGTTAAGTCAAAATCTGAAGACCTGATTAGGATTTCTATCTAATTTGTGTGGGGTCGTACGAGATGAGATTTGTTAGTCATTTTTAGAAGCTATTAAAATCAAACACGTGCATTCACATTATTGATGGGATTTTATAATAATATAGTCAAAATTGACATAATAGAAATTCAATTTAGTGCAACTTAACCCATAATGAAGAAAATAAAAGCTAGCAAAGCAATATTAACTGTACTTTTATTCACCAAACTCCAAACTATATCCGCATTATTTTATAAATAATACTACCTCCTATTCTTTTTAAACTAATAAACATCTCGTGCGATGTAAGGGCGAGTTTGTACCTTAAAACCTTTTTTTAAAATTTTATTTTAATAATGTATTAGCCTGTTGACTCGTTTATATTAATATAAATAAAAAAAATGCTACAAGTACATAATAAATGTACATAGAAGTGTACATAACACTCACATGAAGTGGGGTCCATTTTATTTTTTATTTTTAGTAAGACCCACTTAATGTGAGTATTATGTACACCTCTATGTATATTATTATATACTTATAGCATTTCTCTATAAATAATATTGTAAAACTTATATTTGTTTTCTGATACAACTAATTTTACGTATTAGTATTCATCATAATACTTAAATATCCTTTATTCTAAAATTTATTTTCATATTGTTTCATTATTATTACTTATATAGCACTTATAAAAGTAGTATTCTTTATATATATATTTATATATAGGATGTTGTTCAAATGAGAACCAAGTCTTAATGTGAGAACCGTGAGAATCACTATTTTTAATTGCGTGTAGTGCTATGATTGTTTGTGTTTGGTGCTATTTTTAACCAAGATGCATTTTATTAAAAATAGCAACACAATTTATATTTAGCATTTGTGAAAATGATAGCATAATCTAATATTAAAAACAGCATCAAATACGGTTCTCATACTAGGACTAGTTTTTATTTGAACTAACTCTTATATATATATATATTATGACATGTATTTAATTTACATTGATATTATTTATTGATGTAATTAATTTAAAAATATATAAACAAATTTCAAATAAATATTGTGCCATATTTGCATCCTATTCAAATTTTAGAATTTATCCCATCTCATAATAGTTAGAAATAAAATCATATAAATAAGATTTTATGACAATATTATATATATTAAGTCCAATATTTTATTTGTTCCATGAACGCATATACTTTTTCATGATGTGGTAGATTATAGGAAAGTTAAGATAAAATAGAATTTATCCAAACAAATCTGTAGTGGTCTCTTTTTTAAATTTGAATTTAATTTTTTTTCCAAAATTTTCAAAAACACATTTAGGCGGGATATTTAAAAAAAATAATAATAAATTACCTAGATTAGTAAGTCAAACAAAAAATAAAAAGTCAAAGTTTCTATTAAAGCATTTTACCACCAACCTTTTTATATTAGTATAGGTGTCATTTTGACTTCGTCAACCATTAATCAAATAAATGACATTTTGGATATTTTATACATATTTTTTCATTATTACCCTCATTAAGCTAATAATACACTACGTCTTTTCATATTAATTCTTTATATTTTTTCAAAACATTCATCTCTATCTTTGACAAAAAAAAATCTTATTTATTGTTAAACTTCTCAAAACGACACTTATTATGAATAGGAGGGAGTAAGAATTAAACGAGTTTTAATTTGTCGTGTGTCAATTACATACCTTAATTATAATAAGAATAGTAATAAATTTGTTGTGTGTATATTCAATAACTTAATATAACCCATTATTGGAATATAGCACTGTCTCTTTGCTAGACATAGTTTAATTACTATAGATTCTTTGAAACAGAACAAAGTCAAGTTTGTTAATAACACACTTTAAGAATTGTGAAACTATTAATTCATGGACAAAGTCAAGTTTGTTAATCACACACTTTTAAGTTTTAACAATTGTGAAACTATTAATTCATTAAAAGGGACAAAGTCAAGTTTGTTAATAACACACTTCAATTTTAGTGCAATGCACAAGGAATATTATCTATATATGAAAATATTTTTTCATAATGATTCGATTCTAAATGTCGATTTCTGGTGTTTCATAATGATCGAATTTTTGTGTTTGATAAACCTATGTGTTTGGTATAGAATAGTACAAGTAGATTTAGACTTCTATTCATGCCTATTATGACTTAAAATTAAAAAAATATATAGTTGACTAATTAAATTGTAAATATATTTAAAAATTAATAACTTTTGTATTTATAATCAGATTTTTCGTATGTAACATATCAAATTAATTATCATCTTTTGACGATCTTCGATTGGTATTCATATTACATGTATGAAATAAATAAATAATTTTATCTTTTTATTATAAAGATATATCATCTATTAAGACTAATTAAAAATTAATAAAACCATATGTCATCAACTCAAAAGGTCATATAGAAACTCATTACATAAAAATTACAAAAATTTTTATAATACAAATCAGACAATTGTATAAGTGATAAAACTCATTTTTAATATATATAGTAAAGTATTTTTATAAAAGTATTTAAAATTTAAAATTAATAAATAAAACTTTTCTCGTACATGTTATCTTAAGGCTTTAGTATAAAATATTTAACTAGCACACGAGTTTTGTACTAATTTAAATTGAACCAGGCTACCAAAAAACTTATATTTTCTATTTTGTTATCATTATTAATTATATAAAAGCAAGCGATTTTGCAATAAAATATCAAAATTAAATTGTTTGAATATCCAAACTGCCAGTAGGATTTAACTCACTCAGTACTAATACATAAAGTTACGAAATACAAAAAATCGACATATACAATTATGAAACATAAATTATTAACTACTAATCTTGAAAAAAATCTGCATTCATATATCAGGAAGAAGAGAAAAATATTCAAAAAGGGGGCTATATGGGCTATTGAAATATTCAAAAATTAA